AATCCTGTTGATTCCCACTCGTAGCGACCCTACAGACCTGAGCAGCACTGCCCCATAGGGTTTCCACAGCTGTAATCTTGATGGGTAGCTACTGCCACATCTTCCTACCATGGAGCAACTGGTGAGTTGACATTGCTAACTCTCACTTAGCAGCTGAGCTCTTACCCACCAGGGCACCTAAAAGACTCTCATAAGAGTATTTTATACAGGAGAGCTTTCATGGAGAGAAGCCAAGTAAGGAAAGGAATGGTTATGACATGGTGAGCCAAAGCTGACCCAACAGCAGTGGGCATGGCAGCAATGGTTCAGATGCGGGGCTCTGAAGCCAGTCCACCTGCGTTCACCACCCCAATTTCATGAGTTGGATTTCTTGGCCAACTGATTTCACTTCCCTAAGCCTCAATGGGAATGAATATATATAAACTAAATTGCATATTAAACTCACTGCACTGAGTCAATGCCGCCTTATAGCGACCCGCCTTCCCTAGACCCCAGTGGGTTTCTGAGGCTGTTCATGGGAATAGAAAGCTTCATCTTTCTCCTGAGGAGCAGCTGGTGGTTTTGAATGGACAACCCTGGGGATCGCAGCTTAATGTATAACCACACCACTAGGGCTCCTTTCATGTAAAACATGGAGTATTATATCTGGAATGTAGTATAGCTAAAAAATTTTTTTTTTAAACCTCACTGCTATCAAGTCACTTCTGATTCAGAATGATCCTACGTGACATGCTCCATTTCAGGAATAGAAAGTTTCAAACTGCTGACCTTGCAATTAACAGCGCAACATGTAACCTGCAATGCCATCAGGGCTTAGTACATAGTAGATATTATATAGATATTATCTACTTAGGCGATTTAAAAAGCTCACTCATTTTCATATGTAATGACTAGGAATAATGACAGTTGGCAATTACGGTATACAGCACTTAGCCCTTACTTAGCACTTGGTGCATATTAAATTATTAAATGAGATACTGCATTTCATAGCATGCCTGTGAAAAGAAGACTGTTACTACTCAAAGTTTTCCAGATTGCTGACAAATTTTCCATACCCAATTAAAAAAATTTAGATTATCTTGTCACATCTCCAAACTCCACATCATTTTAGAGTAGAAATAAAATTTAAAAAGAGAGCGTGGGAGAAAATGTTTTTTAATAAGACACACATAGAAGGCTGGAGGGTTCAACAGGATTTGTCTATATCCAAACTCCATTAACAAAGGGGTAGGGTTGTAACGCCTCTGGCAGGCACCCTGGTTTTCTCAAACGTTGGAAGGACACCATCTCTGAATTGGCCAGTCCTTATCTAGGCATTTGGCATTTAGTGCAGACGAATCACTGTGATTCCTCCAAACCTGTTCTATCCTCATCCTCACTGTTTACAAGGGACAACCCCTGTCATCACTGAGCTCATCAAGTTAATATTCCAATAAACACAGCCTTTTAATCATGTAAGAACTATGGTGGCGTCACAGGTTTACGTGTGGGGCTGCTAAGCTTGTTTGAATCCACCAGCTGCTTGGTGGTGGAGAGATGAGGCTGTCTGCTTGTGTCAAGATTTACAGCCTTGGAAGCCCAACCCTCCCCCCAACCCCCGCCCCTGTCCAACAGGGTCTCTAGGAACAGGCGGTGGGTTTTATTCTGTTGTTTAATTAGGTAATTTCACTCGTATTTATTACATCTCCAAACCAAATAGAGCAGCAAATCACAAGAAACCAAGAGAGTCTACCAACATTGAACCAGTGCATTTATTATTTCAGTGGTTTGTCTCAGCTTAAATTCGTCTTAAGAAAACCTTAAGGCAGCAAACCTTTGTTGAGCACCTACTATAAGCCAAGTGCTTTCTAGTAACATGTGCAGTAACTTTTATACTAACTAGTCTTTATAATAACTCTAAAAGTATGAAATTGAGTAACCCACTCAAGATCTCAGAGGTAGAAAATGGGTAGAGCAGGAATGCTAGCAGCCTTTTATCCAGAGCCCGCGCTTCTAACCTCTACTATATAAAGTCCTTCAATTCTGATCCCCACCCCCAACACATTACTATGGGTGAAGGCCTCTCATGGAAGCAGTTTCCTGTACATGCTATCTTCAGAGTGTGGTTCAGCTTTGGGCCATCGTTAAGTTCCTCTTATTAAAATCAACGATAAATGACACATGGCAATCTCTATCATGCTGGTCAGCTGCAATGCTTCTTATACTGATGGGAGACCTGGGATAGATTCTTGGCTACAACTGTATCATGCACAGCTGTCAGTGAAGGCTTGCATATTGCTTTGAAGTTGAATAGGTTTCAGCAAGAACTTCCAGACAAAGATGGACTAGGAAGAACGGCTTGCAGATTCACTTCCAAAAGGCAGTCAATGAAAACACTCCTATGCGAGAAAAGTAGGTGAAGGGAGATGTCAGAGAGTGTAATAATTGGTTTTGTGCATGTTCTTATCTCCACAGGTCTGTCTAAATAAGATAGGCTGGATGAACAATCTGGAGGAGAAAACAACTGAACCAACAGTTCTGAGGGGACATGGGAGAGGGGGAGGTGGGGGGGAAAAAAAAAAGAAAACACTCCTATGCTTACCTATCACAAGGTTGGTGCAGGACCAGCTAGCCTTTTGTTCCTCTGCGCATGAGGTCCCCATGAGCGGGGGATCAACGCAACAGCAGCTAGTAACAAACTACTTCTTAAAGCTTACCGAATGTGCATTCAACTATTTGAGTTGGGCAGATAGGAACTTCTGACATAGCTAAAGCTACCCAATAAACTCTCAACACTGTGGTCCTTCTGGCCCATCTGGCAATTTTAAGAGAAAGTTCCAAACATGCAGGGCACATTTAGGTGGGGGTTCTACATTGAACAGCTTTCTGAAGGGCGAATGACAACATTTCCTCCAATATGTATTTTGAAACTTTCTCATGCTCTTAAAATTACTACTAGAAAGGATGGAGCCCAGGGTAGATTTCAAAGTGGTTACAAGTACAAAGCTTTTGCCTGACTTAACAAACTATTTTTAGTATTTAGGTTGTATTCTTATAAAACATAATTTAGTAGTTGGTGGTCATCTGAATGGAAAAGTTCTGAATCTAAATCTCAGTCGATTCCTACCATTAAGCCTGAATTTCACGAGGTCACTGTGAGTCAGAATCGATCTGAGCCTCAATAACAACACAACTGTGTCCAGATCATCTAAGTAACAACAGTGTTGCTATCAATAGGGGTCTAGACCCTGCCAAAAAAATCCCGATGAAACACATGAACTCTATTGCCTTGAGAAGCACAAACTTCACACACTCATTCCCAGGCCTCAAGAGAAGAACCCCTGTTCTACATCTTGTATGAAAAGAAGGGATGGTGTTACCTTGAAATCTGTGACCAAAAAAAAAAAATCAAGCCTTCCATTTTCTCCATTTGTAAAGAAAAACAGGGTATTTGAAAAGATTCCAAGGTAAACCACGGCAGTGGCAAAAAAGTACCATTCTGGTCTAATGGATTCATGTCACCACCCTGGATGCTTTTCCCCAGCAACTGCACAAGGGGCCACTTCCTGCCTTTCAGTACTCCTCTCAAATGTCAGCCCCTGGGCCCCTGTCCACATCGTTGTCATTTCACCCCAGTATTTATCAGTATTCAAAAATACTTCATTCATTGTTACTGTTATCTCCCCGATGATGACAGCATAAACTCCGTAAGGTCGGGGGCTCTTGTCTGGCAGGTTCCCAATTGCCTACCACAGTGCCTGGAACACAGTAGGTGCCTGTTAAATATGTTAATTGTTCCAGGAAAGAATGAAAGAGAGAGAGGATGATGCTGTTGGGGCAAATACCTGGAGCTTTAAATAGCTATGTGTCAGGGTTCTCTCCCGCTTGCCATAATCTGCAGATCTAACCGATCAGCAAATATTTACTGAGCATATGTTATGTGCCAGATATTGCTTTAAGGATAGGGCTGATGGTTGGAGGATTATAATAATGGATAAGGCTGGCAAATATCTCGGCCTTCCTTTACCCCACATGTCAATGACCCAAAGTAGAATAAGCACATTTCTTGCAACCTGGGAAAGTTCAGGATAATCCTCTACTTTCCTTCCTGGAGGTAAACTGCTAATGGGAGATCAGCAAATCAAAGGAAAGCCCCCCATAAAGCCAGCCTCAGGGGTTCCCCCGAACCAGTTGGGCAGCTCTTCCCACACAGGGGGCGCGAACCAGAAGAGGCCAGTGAAATAGAAAACTTAGCAGCACGGGCTGCTGGCTTGGAGGGCTTAGGGAGCGAGAGGGCAGGAACCAGGAAACAGGAGGTTAAAGTACTCGTGGCAAGAGCCCTGGACGGGGAGTCTGGGGACCAGCCCTAGCTGTCCCCAGCTAGCTCGGTGACCTTGGGCCAGTCCTGAGCTTCCCCGGCATCAGTTTCCCCAGAGCAGTACGACCAGGAGGAAGTAAGACACGGTGGGATTCGGGGTCCAGGGGCGGGAGGAGCGGGGACGAGGCGGCCGGACTGAGGCCAAGTGGGGTAACGGCCGGCGTGGGGGAGCCAGGGCGGGGCCGGGCCGGGGCGGCTCACCCACCGAGCGCCACCTGGCAGGCCCTGCGCAGCTGGGAGTGCTGGGGCCGCTTCACCTCCTTGTCGGCCAAGATCTTCTCCAGGGCCCGGGACACGAACATGCTCTTGGTCTGGCTCTCCTGCATTGCCCCAGCCCGACGAGGGCTGGCAGCCCCGCGGGCGGGCGGCGCGCACAAGCGGGCGAGCGAGGCTGCGGGCCCGGCGTCCCGGCCGGTACCCGCCGCGTCCGTCCGCGCCGCCCCGTCAGGAAGCGACGCCGCGGCCCCACGGCGCCGCCATGTTGGAGCGCGTCACGTGACCACGTGACTGGTGGAGCCGCTCCGCCCGCCGGGCGTCCGTCGACCCCGTGACCCCGGCGGGGCGGGGCCTGCGTTTGGGGGCGGGGCGGCGTCGGCCCGGCCCGGAGGGGAGGGGCTGAAGGCGGAGGCCGGAAGGAAGGCGGGCTGTGCCGAGCCGAGCAGGGCCGGTGAGGGGAAATACAGAGAGCCGAGAGGTGACGGCTTGAGAAGAGGGGAGGGCGAGGAGGATGGACGTGGAGGTGGCGGGATCAGAGAGGAGGAAGGAGGAGGCGAGACGGAAAGAAGGGCGAGGAAGGGATGAGGTGAAGCCCCGAAGAAAGACCGACCCGGAGGTGGGGGGAGGGGCGCGAGTGAAAAGGGCCGCGGGGAGAAGAACCGAGAAGGAGAAGCGAACGCGGAGAAGACGGGAGGGGCGAGGCGCTAAAAGGAGGCGAGAGGGAATTCGGTGAAAAGGAGAAGAGAGGCGGATGCCATGGAAAAAGATGGTGTCGGGGGAGGAGGTGAGAAAGAATGGAAAGAGAGCTTGCTGGGGAGTGGAGAGAGAAACAGGAGATGAACGGGAAACGGCGCGAGAGGGTGTTTGTGGACACTTTCCCCACACCGCATTCACGTGCCCATTGGCAAAGCACCCAACATCCACCCTGCCTCCCACCCCCAGGGACCACAGTAGATCTAGCTCACTTCTGCTTCTGGAGTGCCACCTCTCACCACCAGCCCACCTCCCTCCGGAGTGTACTGGGCTAGTTTCATAAACCTGTGCTTCCTCACAGTGCTCTGAGCTGGCCAGGAGTGTGTCCTGCCTTTGGAGGATGGAATGGAGGCCGCCAGTGTCACACAGCCTGCAAAATGAGGGTAAGGAGGTGTCTGACACCAAGGCCCCTGCCGCCGCTGATAGCACAGCAATGATTGGTGATGTCCTCTGGACCCCTTCCTCATTCATCTCTCCCAAAGGAGAACCTTCTACAAGGACAAGGCCCCTTCTTGCAAACCTCCCAGGCAGTTGAGCTGAAATGCTCAGGTCCCAGCTCAAGTATCTACCTCCTCAGGAAGGCCCTCACTGACCACTCAGCCCCTCTCTCCTACTTAATGATATTTGTAACATTTTTTTTGACCTGTTGTCTACTAGAGTGTGGGCCAGAAAAAGGCCAGGCTGTATCCCATGAGCCGCATAGGGTGTCTTCTGGCCTTTACAGTGTGACTTTGCAGCTCCTTTTATCAGAAGATTGAGTATATTTCTCTACCCTCTTCAGTCAAGATTAGCCTCTGACTTGCTTTGGCCTATAGAAAGCGTCTGTTCCGCACACCATCTTGCAGAATGTGAGCACCATGAGCACACAACTCCACGTTCAGCATACACAAACACTGCCCTCTGGTAATGCTGACTCAGCAACCCGATAGGATGGGATAGAACTGCCCCTGTGGGTTTCCAAGACTGCCTACTCTTTGTCTTTCTCTTGAGGAGTGGCTGATGGTTTCGGGCTAGTGGTTTTGAACTGCTGAACTTGCAGTTAGCCCACTGTGTAGCCACTATGCCACCAGGTGCTCAATAACTACTTCTGGAATGAAAGAGTGGGTGAATGGGAGATTTGGGTCCGCCGGATTTAAACTTTCAATCAGGAAGTTATTTGTGGGGCGGGGCAAGGTGTACGGGCACAATAATGATTCTCCAAATGTATCCACATCATAATCCCTAGGACTTGTTATCTTACATGGCAAAAGGAACTTTGCAGATATGATTATGTGCAGGATCCAAAGATGAAGAAATTATTCTAAATTACCAGGTGGGCTGAATGTCTTCACCAACGGCCTTATCAGAGGGACACAAAAGCATCAGAGTTGGCAGATGAGATGTGATGACCAAAGGAGAGGTCAGGGTGAGTAGGGCCATGTGCCAAGGAGTACGTTGGCCTCTAGAAGCTGGAAAGACCCAGAAACGTTCTCCCATAGAGCTTCCAGAAGGAACAACCCTGTCGTCCCATTTTAGACTTTTGGTCACCGGAACTCTTAAGGAATGAGTGTTGCTTGAAGCAATGAAAGTGTTGGACTGCTTACCAGAAAGTCAGCTTTTCAAACCCACCAGCTGTTCTGGGGGAGAAAGATGAACTGTCTGCTCCCTTTAAGATCCACAGCCTCAGAAACCCTATATAGGGTCTCTGCGAGTCACATCGACTTGATGACAGTGGGTTTGGTGATTTAAGCCACTAACCTGTTAGCATAAAGATGGTTCTGATGCAGAGAGGACGACGGGGCCAAGCGCCCAAGCCCAGCTATGTTGACTTACTCCCCAGAAGAATGTAATACAGAGGACAGCACTAAAGATATAGCCCAGGGAGAGTGGCAGATCTGTCCAGACCACACAGGTGCAAACTAAGAGAGAGAGAGTGGACCTCATCATGGCCCACCAAGCCCCAGGGATGAGATCATTGCTTGGAGCAGCCAATGCACAGAGAAGACTGTAGGGCCAGCCCCACCACAAGACATGACACTCCCCTCACTGACCCATAGTGCTACGGGGATAGCATTGGAGACACTGTGTGGAAAGTGTGCCTGGTCTGCTCCAAGTACAGCGGGTTGAAATGTGAAGGGAGTGCAAGGGGAACAAAGTAACAAAGTCCCCAAGGAATCATGAAAATAGACTTATGGCTCAGGGGGCAGGGCTTGGCACATCATCAGACCCAATTGGAAAGCATTCATAAGGGTCAGCAGACAGACCTGGCACTATTTATCTTTTTTGTTTGTTTTCATTTTCTTTCGCTCTATGTCTATATAAGATAGGCAGGACAAACAATCTCAAGGAGAAAACAACTGGTTTGGCAGAGCTGGGGGGACATGGGAAAGGAGAAGGCAGGGAGAGAGACCAGGAGCCAACAAACTAAGGGATAAGGGAACAACAAGAGATCTAAAATTGATGATGAGAGTGTATAATGTCTGGTGGGGTTTGATCAAGTGCAATGTATCTGAGAGGAATTACTGAGAACCAAATAGAGGGTGAGCATGATAGGGGGATAGGAGGAAGGTGAAAGGAAATAGAGTAAAGAACTAGGAGGCAAAAGCTATTAATAGAGATATAGCTATAGGCATGTATATACATAAATATATTTATAATGATAGGGATAGAGGTCAATGTACATATACTTATATGTTAAGTATTAAGATAGCAGATGGACTTTGGGCCTCTAATCAAGGCCTCCCTTAGCACAAGAACACTTTGTTCTAATAACCTGGCACTGTTTGATACCTTCCTGGCACCATCACTGAAGACAAAATGGGTGCATAAGCAAATGTGGTGAAAAAAGTGGATGGTGCCCAGCTATCAAAAGATATAGCATCTGGGGTCTTAAAGGCTTGAAGTTAAACAAGCGGCCCTCTTGCAGGGAAGCAAATAAGTCCACATGGAAGAAGCACACCAGTCTGTGTGATTATGAGATGTTGACAGACTCAGGTATCAGGTATCAAAAGACCCAAAACAAATAACTATCTCAGTGTGAACTAGGAGGGTTGGAATGGAGACCCAAAGCCCTCTGTGGACAATTGGACATCCCCCACAGAAGGGTTACAAGGAAGGGATGATTCAACCAGGGTGCAGTATAGTACCTACAAAACACACGTCATTCCTCTAGTTCCCTGAATGCTTCCTCCTCACCCCACTACCAGAACCCAGTTCTACCTTACAAATCTGGCTAGACTGGTCTGGAGTACACACATTGGTACAGATAAGAGCTCTTGATAACGTGGAATTCAGGACGCATAACTCCCTCAGGAACTGTAGTGGGAGTAGCTACATCATGAGGGTAGGAGGATGATGGTGGTGGGGAGGGAGAAAGGGGGTACTCATCACAAGGTTGGCTATATAGCCCCCCCCAGGGGACAAATAACAAAATGTGGGTGAAGGAGACAATGAACAGTGTAAGATAAATAATAATATATAATTGATCCAAGGATTTGGGAGGGTGGAGGAGGGAGGGGAAAAAAGAGGAGCTGATACCAAGGGCTCAAGTAGAAAGAAAATGTTTTGGAAATGTTGATGGAAACATATGTGCAAGTGTGCTTAATAAAATCGAATGGTAAATTGTGATAAGATTTGTAAGAGCCCCCCAATAAAATTATTAATAACACCCCCCAAAAAAAAGATGGTCTGATGCTTAATGACCCTATAGAACAGAGTATAACTGCCGCATGGGGTTTCCTAGGCTGTGATCTTCATGGAAGTAGATTGTCACATCTTTTTCAGGCAGAGTAGCTGGTGGGTTCAGAATCAATGACCTTTAGCTTAGCAGCCAAACCCTAAACCTCTGTGCTACCAGGGTTCCCTTTCAAGCCACTGCATTGATGGCTTCTTCTAAAACTGGGTTGGCACAAGGAGTTTTAGCTTTAAAATCAGAAAGACAGACCTGAAGTTCAGGATGACCATGGTCAAGTCATTTTATCACCTTGAACCTCAAGTTCCTGACCTGTAAGCATGGGCAATCTTAATTGTAACTTGGAAAAATCAACTGAAATCGGATGCATATAAATCATGTACCTGTACTATTGACTGTTCTGACGAGGGACACATTGATAGTCTTGGAGAAAATAGGAAAATATAGAAGAAAATGCAAATTCCCCCAAAAGATCATACTAACTAGTCTGGTGGAGACTCAAAACTATAGCTCTGGGATGCCCTTTAACCTTGGAGTCCAACCCCAGACTGGAGGCCACCTACCAGCCAAAAGACAGAGTGGCTCATAAGTAAATACCACCCATGAGTGCTGTGCTCCTCTACACACAGTCATCTGATAACATCATCATTTGATCTCCCCTTTGACCCATTGTAAATTCCTTCTAGTTTTTAATATTTTCTGCTTTCTTTTCAATTACATATCTTTTACTTTGTTAATGTTGGTTTTGAGGTGTTTTTATTTCTGTTTTTCTTTTGGTATGTTTTTCTGTATATGAAATCCAATATAGGAAAATTTATAAAGGCAGTAATTGGATTAATGGTTCCTTGGGGGTATGGCAGGGGAGGTTGGGGCAAGTGCAAAGCTAATAACAATGAGTATAAGAAAGAAGAAAATGTTCTAAAATTGATTCTGGTACCTGGTGCCGGGGGCTTGAGTGGAGAGGAAATGTTTTGAGAATGATGAGGGCAATGAATGTACAAATGCGCTTTACACAATTGATGTATGTGTGGATTGTGATGAGAGTTGTATGAGCCCCTAATAAAATGATTTTTTAAAAAAGAGTTGAACGAGCCCCCAATAAAACTATTTTTAAAAGATTAAAAAAAAGAAAAAAAAATTGATTCTGGTGATGATTGTACAACTTTTCTTAATATGAAAGAACTGGTGAATTGTATGATATGTGAATTATATGCCAATGGAACTGTCTTAAGAATCTGAATGAGAGCTATAGGTCAGTATTTACTCGATAGAAGGGTTCGCAAACCTTTGAGACAGATGAGCCAACCCAGTCCATCCTAACAATTTTAAAGTTATTTGAAAGCCATAAATATATTTTTATAAACAAATGAAATCACCGTTGTCTGAATAATGCCCTTTAAAATGTTTTCAATTTTACTTCAGAGCCACATGTACATACCAAAAGAGCCACATATGGTTTGAGAGTCAGTTTGCCGACCCCTGCTTTAGACCAAAGGTAAAAAGGTAAGAGGGACAAGGAGACTAGATAAATGGAAACAGTACAACCAGAATGGGAATCATGAGAATGCTAGCACATTGTGAAAAGTGTAATACTATTCAATACCACCGAATGTAGAAATTGTTAGATGAGACCCTAATTGTTAAATGAGAACCTAATTTGGTATGCAAATTTCCTCTGAAAACACAATAAAATATTGTTATAAGAGTTCAGGACCTTGCAAGGCTAGTCAATGACCCATGAGTGGTTTTGTTTTTTTTAACTTTTTATTGTGAATTAGGTAAAAGTTTACGGAGCAGATCATCAGTTTTCCATTTAATTCATACACATTTTGTTTTATTTTTTTGAGATATATAAATATTATATTAAAGTCATCCAGAGCATGAGAGATAAGATATTAAGATAATGGAGTCAGAAACAATTCATGGTAGCATGCTCACCTCAGCCCTTGCTTGGTGGTCCTCGTGGGGGGAGCCCGGCCACGAGAGCAGGAGAGAGCCTCAGGAGCGAGAGTAGGTGAGCCCCCCCATATTTTGTTTTATCTCATTGTGTCCCCTCAATGTAACATCACTTATCCTACTTCTTCCCTGTGTTTTCTATTTCTATTCCTCCTACTTGCCTAACCCTCTGATGAAGGTTGCCTTGGGTTAAATGCTGGCCTTTTGATCTTAAAGGCTTGATTATTCCAATGTGAGGGCATAACAAGTGATTTTTTTAACTTACAGCAGAATTGGCCAGGTGTGCCAATTAAATTAAATTAGTAGCCAAACAGCAACAACAACCAAACCAGTTGCCCTCCAGTTGATTCTGCCTCATGGCAACTCCTTGTGTGTCAGATTAGTACTGTGCTCCCTAGGGCTTTCAGCAGCTGATTTTTTGAAGTAGATCACCAGCCTATTCTTCCGAGTGCCTCTTGGTGGCCTCAAACCATCACCTGGGTTCGCAGGCGAGTGCTTTACCATTGTGCCACCAGGGCTCATTTTCCCCTATGGTATATGAGCCGGTATCCCCCAAAACTGGAGTTGCGCTGGGTGCAGCGGAGTTTTCGGTAATACACATTTTCCCCACTAGGTGAGCATCAAGCAACTCGCTCTGAGTTAGTGCACCCAGTGGCGTTTTCTGGGAAGGTTCTCTCTGGTCACAGTGATTGTTTTCATAAAAGCAGTTTAGCCCGAACCTCGTTTTTTGTGATAGCTGATTTACGAGAACCATACGACTGTGAAATTTTGTTTCCTACTCAGGAAAAGTGCTGCCAAAACTGTTGTGATGTTGCACACAGCTTACAAGGACAGCGCTATGGGGAAAACTCGTGTATGAGTGGTTTTCTCGTTTCAAAAAAGGCAAAATGTTTATTGATGACAAACCTCGTTCTGGGTACCGTCAACTTCCTGAACGGACGAAAATGTCCACTTGTAGTGCATTTGGAGTTTGTTCCACAGGTCAGACTGTTAATCAAGCTTTCTATTTAGAGGTTCTGAAAAGATAGCACAACAGTGTGACCAAAAAGGCCTTGATTTGTGGCAGACGGGACTGGATTTGTCACAACAATGCACCTGCTCACACAGCCGCCATCTCAGTGTGCCAGTTTTTGGCAAAAAACAGCAGCATTCCTCTCTTGCCCCACACACCTTACTCACCTGACCTCTCTCTGTATGACTTCTTTTAGTTTTTACAAATGCAGAGAAGACTCGAAAGGACAGCAATTCGATGATGGAGAAGAGGTGAAGAAAAAACGAGAGCAGTGTTGTCAGCCATCCAAACAGATGAGTTTGAATCACAGATTTGACAAATGTATTAAGTGCAATGGAGAGTACTTTGAAGGTGATAAGGTTGTTTTGTAAAAAAAAAATTAAAATACATAGCTTTGGGGAAGAAAATTCCGTTTTTTGGTACCCCCTTGTATGGCCATCGTTTTATCAACCAGTAAATTACCATTGCTTTTAAGGAGGTAAAAGCTGGAAGCACAACACTCCACACCTTGAAATCACTTGTCAATTGCATTAGACTTTAAACTCTGAGCACCTCATTTGCAGAAGTTTATGGATAACTGCGAAAGTCCAAAATTATTTGCAGAGTCCCCACGTGGATTAAGCTTTGATGTGAACAGTCTTGTCCTTGGGCAGATCTCATTGGAAAGTAGTTCATCTCCACTTCCACCCCATCCCCACCCCCACCCCCACCCAGCCCAAGGAGGAGCTGTCTCCCTTAGGCGCTTGCCTTGGTGTGGCCGATGCTGTGGTATATTGATATGCTGACAATCATGCTTTTTTGACAATTCCTTTGTGCTCCTATCCCCTTTTAAAATCTCTGTATCTCAGCAAAACCCTTGGAACCATTATGACCTCATGTTAATAGTCTCCCTCACCCTGATCATATCTCTTTACTTTTGTCCTCGTTAAGATTTAACAGATGTTCTCCTTGAATTGTATTTGAGATTTGGGGTCTCTTGTATGCTAAAACACAATCATCAGTAATGAGTATTTCGTACAATATTTGAAATAAAGGGAAAAACCGGATCGCCCCCACTATAGAAAGAGAAATCTCAAAATATAATTCTATGTATATATAAATGGCATTGGAGTGGTGAATGTTTTACTGTATCACAATAATAACATTAAGGGGAAAATGTAATTCTATCCTTGGTCAAACCAATATAGGGAACATTTGTAATAAGTGCCTTATATTTGTAAGGAAGGTTCTTGATTCATTCCAAGTAAAACATACCTGGCACATCCAAAAAATCAAACAAACTTACTACTACCCTGTTTCCTCGAAAATAAGACAATGTCTTATATTAATTTTTGCTCTCAAAGATGCGCTAGGCCATATTTTCAGGGGATATCTTATTTTTCCATAAAGAAGAATACGGTACACATTTATTGTTTAATTAAAAGAGACTTCACACTTCCTGTCTGCTCTGGCTGCATTGTGGCCAACAGTGAGCTGCGTGGGGTGGGGGGGGGGGGGGCGCCCGCCACTGCAGTCCAGAGTTACGGTACCTTCAGGGGGCCTTATTTTTGGGGAGGTCTTATTTTCAGGGGGATGCCTTATATTTCAGCAAGAGGCAAAACTGTAAGTAGGTCTTATTTTGGGGGGATGTCTTACTTTCGGGGAAACACGGTAGCAAGCCGATTAGGATTCGTAGAGACCCTATAAGACAGAGTAGAACTGCCCCAGTGGGTTCCTGAGACTAACTCTTTACAGGAATAGAAAGCCTCATTTTTCTCCCATAGAGCAGCTGGTGGTTTTGAACTGCTGACCCTGAGTTTAGCAGCTCAATACATAACGATTATGCTACCAGGGCTAAGTGCTTTCTCATTATCGATATTTTTATTTTATGTTCATTACTATCTCAGTTAAGGAGTTCTGGTGATGCAATGGTGCATTCAGCTTCTAACTGCAAGTTTGAGCCCACCAGTCACTCAACAGGAGAAGGATGAGGTCATCTGTTCCTGTAACTGTGACAACCTTGGAAACCCTATGGGGCAGTTCTACTCTCTCCTGCAGGGTTATTATGAGTCAGAATCAACTTAAAAGGAACTGGGGTTGTGTTTTTGATTTACTACCTCAATTCATGATCACACCCCTCAATAACATTATGGCTGTTGTAAATACTTAGCCAGAATCACTTGAAACATTTCAATCTCTTGGTCAAATATGACAGTGATGAGATATAACTTCTAGACTTGAGAGTCTCCAAGGTGAGAAGGAATTCACAGAGTGATAAAAAGATTCCAGATGGGCAAAAAAACAGAGCCAGTGTTCCCCACTGGTAACCTTTAGATAACCCTTAAAAAGAGGAGCGGGAAAGATGGGAAGGGAAAGCTGATGGAGTCAGGGATAGGTGGCAAGCTCTGCAGTGTTATCATTCTTAATAGAGTGTGATTAACTCCCTGGAAACTGTTAGATCTCTCCGTAGCTAGATATACCTCGGTCCTTGGCTCTGTGCGAGAAAGAATTCATGCCGAAGCCTGGCTCGTGATCCAAATGAGTTTTATGAAAGTTAGAAGACGTTTTAGGTTTACATGGCACCCGTGGGGCTCCTCCCGAACATGCGGCCTGGTTAGAAGCTGCTCGGCTTTACGCGAAAGTGTCCCAAAGTCCTGCCAAAGCTCTCTGCGCCAAAGTTCTCTCTCTCTTTTTCCTCAACTCCAGGCTTCTGCCTTTACAAGGATTCCACGGGGAGGCGTGGTGGATGACCCCTGATCGACCCCATTGGCTGAATTGAATTCACCTGGCCTAGGTGGGCCAATTCAGGTTCACGCCCACCCATGCCTACCACAGGAAACCTTAGCCTCTGGGCATGTGCAGTGCGCCACTCTGTTCCTGTAGCTTGGCCCTCTGGGCATGTCTTAACGGACATTCCCCCGCCCTATGCTAGTCTACCTAACATTCCCCCATGAAGAGATAAGGACCCAAATCTTTGGGGGTACTGGGCGATGACATCTCTAGCTACTTCCTGCTGGCAAAGGTGGCGAAGTGGGGCTTTGGGTCCATACACTTCCTACTCTGTTAGAAGGGATTGCCCATTTAGGGCCCAGGATGGATAAGGTTGAGGTGGGTTCAGCAGACAGTGGTCCTGGAGCTGGCACACTTGGTTCAGAGGCCTTGGTAACCTCGAGGTAAAAGCAATAGGACCAACAGTTCCTGGGGGCACAGGAGAAGGGGAGGCGGGCGAAGGAATGGTGGGGGGTGGGGGTGGGGGGGTGTTGGTTGTCAACCCACAGACAAGGGAACAACAAATGATCTAATATCAATGGTGAGGGCATAGGATGCCTGGTGGGGCTTGATCAAGGGCAATGTAGCCAAAAGGAAACACTGAAACCCAAATGAAGGCTGAACATGAGTGGAACAAGAGGAAAGTAAAAGGAAATAGATGAACTAGGAGGCAAAGGATATTTATAGAGGTCTGAATACAGGAATGTACATATGTAAATATATTCATATGTAACAATAGGGAAATAGATCTATTTATATAAGTTAAATAAGGCAGAAGACGGACATTGGGCCTCTACTCAAGAACACTTTTGTTCTAATCACCTGGCATTCCGTGATGCTCACCTTCCCAACATGATCTGATCGCTGAAGACAAAATGGGTGCATAAGCAAATGTGAGAAAAGTTGATGGTGCCCGGCTATCAAGAGATATAGGTCTTAAAGTCTTGAAGGTAAACAAGTGGCCATCTAGCTGAGAAGCAACAAAGTCCTTATGGAAGAAGTATACCAGCAGCCTGGGCTATCATGAAGTGTTGACAGGATCAGGAAACAGGCCTCACAAGACCACAAACAAACAAACAAACAAACGCATATTGTTGAGAATGAGATGGGTTGGAGCAGAGACCCAAAACCCACCTGTAGACAATGGGACATCCCCTCACAGAAGGGTCACAAGTAAGGGATGAGTCAACCAGGGTGCAGTAGAGCACTGATGAAACAATATTCCTCTGGTTCCTTGAGGCTTCCTCACCCTCCACTATCATGACCCCAGTCTTGCCTTTCACTGCAGGCTAGACCAGAGCATGTTCATAGGTACAGATAAGAGCTCATGACAGAATCCAGGACAGATAAACCCCTCAGGTACAGAAACTAGTGATACCAGAAGGGTAGGGGGAAGCCGAGGAGATGAGGGGAGGAAGGGGGAATCGTTCTACACAACCACCACCACCGCCCCTGCCCCAGGGGGACAAACAACAGAAACCACAGGGAAGGGAGACACTGTTGGTGTAAGATATGAAAAAAAAAAATAGCAATTTATAATTCATCAAGGGGTCATGAGGGGATGGGGAAAGGGAGGGGAAAAAGATACCAAGGGCTCAAATAGAAAGTAAATGTTAAGAAAATAATAATGACAACACATGTACAAATAATGCTTGATATAATTGATGTATGGATGGTTATAAGAACTGTAAGAGCCCCCAATAAAATTATAATAAAAAAATACACAAGTTGGTAAATAAATGAACATACAAATGCAGTAAGTAAAAAAGTGATCAGGTTTACCCAATGCAATATGTCATTTGATTTTTTTATTACCATTTTATAGGGGGCTCATACAGCTCTTATCATTATACATACATCCATTGTGTCAAGTACATTTGTACATATGTTGCCACCATCATTTTCAAAACATGTTCTTTCTACTCGAGCCTTCATCAGCTCCTCATTTTTCCCCTCTCTCCCGTACTTTCTCTCCCTCATGAACCCTTGATAATTTATAAATTATTATTTTTTTCATGTCTTACACTGGCCAATGTCTCCCTTCACCTACTTTTCTGTTGTCTGCCCCCCTGGGAGGGGGTTATATGTAGATCATTGTGTGTCCCCCTTTTTACCCTCACCTTCCCCTTCCCCTCCTGGTATCACTACTCTCATTATTGGTCCTGATGAGTTTATATGTCCTGGATTCCCTGTTTCCAGCTCTTACCTGTACCAGTATGCATGCTTTGGTCTAGCCAGGTTTGTAAGGTAGAATTGGGGTCATGATAGTGGTGGGGAGGAAGCATTAAAAAACTAAAGGAAAGTTGTATGTTTCGTTGGTGCTGTACTGCACCCTGACTGGCTCTTCTCTTCCTTGTGACCCTTCTGTAAGGGGATGTCCCATTGTCTACGGACGGGCTTTGGGTCTCCACTCTGTGCTCCCCCTCATTCACATTGTTTTTTTTGTTTGTTTGTTTGTTGGTTAGTTTTGTTCTTAGATCATTTTATTGGGGGCTCGTATAACTCTTATCACAATCCATACATACATCCATTGTGTC